AAATACATAAAAGTCGTCTGACGGACTCTAAGGAGGGCTCCACCCAAGCCAGCCCAAGAAAACAAAACCTCACACCAAACTTGGACTGAAAACGTCTCAGTTGCGGCCTTGCCCTGTTCATCAAAATTCAAAATTTACACTTCTAAGAGAAGAATGTCCGTGACCACTTAAGGATGGCGTTAACCACCTTTCAAGACGCAATTTCTTTTCCCTGTATTACAAGACCTTCCCTTCAGAGAAAGGTGAAGGCAGGTGGTCAGGGTTCAAAGAAAATACTCCCGAGGGAATGGAGAGCACCGCCCGCGTTGGGAAAGAGTGCCCTCTCCTCCCTGTTTGTTGTCAACAAAGGAAGCCGGGCTCTCTGGGGAGCGTCAAGCATGCGACCAGGGCGAAAAGTCAGGGCCTCGGGAGGCCGCCCAGTCCCGGGGATACTGGGAAAAGCCGGAGCCGTCCCCGCTCCCCGCTGGCGCGGAGGCCGGAGCAGTAGGGGCACAGACTGCGGGGACCCTCCGAGCCCCTAGCTGTCCGTGGGCACAGGCCAAGGCTCGCAACCGGCGCAGACTCGGAGCCCCCAGCCCCACGTCTTACCTAATCACGCTCAGAAGCCCTCATCCAGCGCGGCAAGGTCTGCGCAGGTCGCCCCGCGGCCTTTATAGCGTGGGCTCCGGTGGACTCCGCCTCCTCTCGCCGGCCCCGCCCTCGCCCAGGCTCGGCCTTAGTGCTGTGCGCCGCTGCCTGCGCGTGGATCGGACTATAAGTAAAACCAGAACCCCGGCGGTCTGTGCGCGCGCCCAGAGCACGCCGGGAACTGGGCAGCTGCCGCGCGTAAGGGGTCTCAGGCTCCTGGCTCAGGTTCAGGAAAAGATCCGTGGTCGGGGCTAAAGTAAGGCCTTTAAAAACCAGGACACAGAAAGTGGACGTTGTCTTCCTTCGGTTTGTTATCGAAAACAATATGAAATTCCAAGACTTCTGATTTCTCCCTTTTTAAAACTTATATTAAAATGTTTTTCAAAACTTTTTTATGCCCATGCCAAGCTCTCACTGGTCCCGGCTGTTGGGCTTATCCAGTCCTGCTGCAGCCTGAGGCTCCTTTCTGCTCTTGAGCCTCCAAATATCCTTCAGCTTACATTGGCCAGTCTGGGACCAGAACCACCATTTAGAACGTATTTTTCTGTGAAGATGTAATCGGCAGTTTCTATTTATCACTTGCAAAGTGTCCTACCCGCTGCAGAACTAGCTTTAACTCTTTGGCTGTGTTAATTGATTTCAAGTTTGGGGTTTTTTTTCAAAATGTGTCAGAAATCCACAAAACACAAAAAGTTGATATTTTGATCATTTTATGCATTTAATAACAATTTGAGCTGCTTTGTATATAAATGACATTATTTTTATGTATAAAATTTTCGGATATATTCATTCGGATATAAAGGAATGTCGCGGCAAAAGTGTTAAGAGCGCCATGGGAGGGGAGAATAGAAGAAAAGTACCAGTCTTACTCCAACAGACTGACCTCTGTTGATAACTATGAGGCACTGTGGATCAGGGTAAGAAGGCTGGCATCTCAAGGCTGCTTATGCTGAATCGGAAGGGGAAGAAGACATGGGATAAAATTCAAGCAGGGCAAATCATAAGATAACGGATCATGACATGTGCCTTCTACCATGATCCTCTGATAGCTTAGGGATGTTTCACTGGGTGTGTCTGCTTAACTCAGCTAATACATGTATTTCTGATGGTAATTTATTTACAAAGCTCTTTCAGATGCATTATCTTATATGCATTCCATTAGCTGTTCCATCCTTGAAACTCTCTCGCATTCCAAGATGCCACTCTCGCCTGGTTTTGCTTCCAGTTCCTTGAGCTTTCAGCCTGAGATTCCTTTCCACTACCCACCCATAATCTGGTGTTGCCAGGGTTGGACAGAGAACCACTGCTATATGTGCTCCGTGGGAGGCTATAGTGCATCCACTTTGTTTTACCTTGGAGATATGTTTGCAAATATTGATTCTCCAGGCCTGACCACTCCCCCTCAGTCTTCACATTCATATCACACTGATTGTTGGACATCTCCATGTCCGACATCTTCAACTCAGAGTCCAAATCTGAACTCATCTCCAATGTTCCACTGCTTTTCCTGCAATCTTTTTTCATAAATCAAGCCAGAAAACTGGGAATCAACTTTGATTTCTCCCACTCCTTCACATCCAATCAGTAAGTCCTGTCTACTTCATTTATTTACCTGTTTCATCTCTTCACTACTCCTGCTACTGCCTTAATTCAGCCCTGTAGCATGTTACTTGGACCATTACAATGTCTTCATGCCAGTTCTCCAGGCTGCCTATGTTAATTTCTGCATACCCCCACCCATTCTCCTCCTGGAGACCTGGCTGTTTTACCTCTCCAGCTTTTTACTTTCCATTCAATTTTTCCCTTTTCTTACCATCCTTTCTGGAACACAGTATGACTGCAGCTGCTCTTACAACTTAAGATTCAAGTCTTGTGCTAAAGATGGCAGAACAGAAAGATGGAAGGAATCTGGAATGTTGACACTGCTGGGCCACCATATGCCACATGTCAGCCCTGAACTAGTTACCTTTGACTTTTCACAAGAGGAAAAAGCCTTTTAAGCTGTTCAGATTACTATTTATTTAGGTATCTGTCTCATCCTGACACATCAAAGTTTAGACAAATAAGGTAGGTGTTCTCAAGGGACCTCAGAGCCAGAAACGGCCTTCACCAAGAGCATATATATGACCAAGTGTTAGATCCTGTGTGAATGTTTTTGCCAATGAAATAAAAAATCTGGGCTTGTCATCAACTAATCACACATTAGTAAACTAGAGTTCATTCATTCAACATACCAAGAGAATGTGAATTTTGATGAGAGGAAAGCAAGCCTGAAGCATTCTAAGAAGCAAGGAGTAAGTGGGGTTGCAGGGGAGATTTGGAGCACCATGAGTGCTCTGGGAATCGAGAGAGAGGCAAGGCCATTCAGAAAAGAAAGATGCAAAGAAAGGCAAGGGATCCTGGGGCCAGCTTTCACTTCCAAAATTAACTAGTTTTAAATTATTGCTTTATTGGGAAAGTTTGTTTTTTAAAAAAAATCAGGTTGACTAAAAAGAAAAGAGTCATAATAGAAGGATTTGGTAGCCTGATAATACTCTATTTAAAAAAATAAACAGGAGAAACTACTTACTCCATCTCAGAACATTTTGACATGTGCCAATATGAAAGGGTAAGTTTGCCTTCGTGGTCCATCAGGATGGTAGCTGTTTAACCCTGTACACACTTCCCTCTTACTAGTTTTCCCTATAAATGCACTGTTCTTAGGGAAAATGGAAAGTGGAGCACATGATAGGGTAGACAAGGCCAGGAAGTGACTTTGAATGAGCCTCTGGCAACAGGCCAACAAGTTTCCATCTCCTCTTCCATCTTAAGAGCAAAGGCTTATTAGTATTCGTTTATAGACAACAGGCAATTACACAAAATACAGCATCGGAACCAAAAGTTGCTTTTAAAATGTGAGTTTTTGACACTTGGAGGATTTCATTCCAAACTCTCAACTATATAATTAAAAAAAAAAATTTCATGTTTCAGGAAAACATACTTAATCTTAACATAAAATTCATGTCACTTATCACACAAAGTTAGACAGTCAAGTGTATAAAGAAGAAACAAAACAGAAGCAGTATTTACAAATTTGGGCTAAATGAGACATGAAGAATTTTTTGTTAATAAACAACACAATACAGACTTTTACACACTACATTTCAAAAACGATGCATCTGTGAACAATACAATAAAAGTCATAGCATTGAAGACTTTAAATTAAATTCATGGATGTTGAAGATTTTAAATTAAATTCAAGGTTGTCGAGTTGAAGGCTAAATTCAAAGTGAAGCTCAGTGATATAGAGTAAATTCAAGGTCGTAATGATGAAAACTTTAAGGACAGATTGTCTAATTAAGGACAAAACAACTAGCACTCCAGTTATTTAGTCAATTAGCTCCCTGTGAGTACAAAATATATAGGAATCACTAAATGGATTAGCCTAATTACAAATTCTGTTAATTTCTAAATAACTCACAACTGCAAGAAGTCTTTTCACAGAATTATTCAGTCACACAGTTTCTCACTATCCTTGGGTAGGTATTTCTGCTATATTTCAAATCCTGATTCAAAACAATTCCCTCCCATTTCCATATTTTTATAAGTATAAAATATTTTGAAACAAAGAAATGTCTGTTCCTTAGCTAGAGAACTATTCCCCTATTTCATCCTCTACCTCAAAAACACAAAGTACACCCAAACAATTCAATTCCTAATGTAGTCGCGTAGAACCCAGGGCCTGGAACACTATTTCATGCTAGTTTTCTTGCTATATGCTGAGGACAATTTAGTGATTTACATTATTAAGAAATCTATGTAACAGGCTGGATTCATTCCAGTGCTTCCATCAGCAGAGGCTCGCTAAAAAAGGCGAGAGCAGCGGCGTCTGCGAATGGGAACATCGAAGACTCTCCTCCGCCTCTCCTCCTCGTCATCTTCATCAGATTCGTCCATATCTGCCGAATCGTCGTCGTCTTCCTCCTCCTGTTCTTCTTCCTCTTCCATCTCTTCATATTCATCAGGACCCATTTCCTTGAAAGAGAAAACAATCTTTTGATAAGAACTTCCATCAGTTTTTTATGCTTATTTAATGCAAATTCTTATTTATCTAGAATTTTAAATAACTGGACATACCAAATATGAATTTTTATAGACTTGAACAGCCCATTTTCACAATGCACATGCTGATGCAAAATTCCAGGGTGTCTATTCTATCACGTGTTTAAAAATGCTCCGTGTGGTTTTAATGGTAAGTATATTTCATTAATATAGTACCTATTTTTTACATGGTAGTTGATAATTCATTTACATGGTAGTTTGATAATTCGTATAGCCAACAGACCACTCCTAACCACCTAAGGTAAAATTTTACTGAATTTATCATCATAGTGTATTAAGCAACACCTCTTTATTAATCTACATGCTTACAGAAAAGAGGATGTCAAAATATTAGTAAGGTATGACCTCTACTGGCAACTTTTATGTACTGTCAACAAGAGATCTAAGAATTACTATTGAGTTCCTACTATAGACACGTCATTTCAATTCAATTTAAAAGCCTCTACTTATAAATTAACTTGTTGAAAGCTCTCAGAATAGGGCAGTAGTGATGTTAAACACGCAACATCTGAACCTCTTGGAAACTTCAATTCCTCTTAAAGCAGTGTCTCTGATCACGTCTTGACTTACTCTGCTATTTTCTCATGCTTTTGAAGACTCAATGAAAAGAGCTCCTTTATTGGACATAATTCTTAACAGCAAGGAGGTCCTAGCTGGTAATGTGGGAAGTGCTGGGAAGCTTGGGATGTGGTGTCAGCATTAGTCCTTCCACAGAGGCTTTTACGGCATTACATGATGCAGCACACCACTATCCTTCTGATCACCTCTCTAACCACTCTCCCCGTTCACTGGCCTCCTTGCAGTTCTTCAAACACGCCAAGCACATTAGTGCTTCAGGATCACTGCACTTGCTGTTCTTTTGCTTGGAACACTCTTCTCCCACAGTTCCACCTGGTTCCCTCTGCTTCTTTCAAGACTCAACTCAAATGTCACCAAGGCTTTCCCTAACATTTTGATATTAGAATAACCCAACAGTTCACTCCTTATCCCCTTTACTCTGATTTTTCTGCACAGCACAGATTACTACTTGACCTAAGTACTTAGAGTTTATCTGCTATACTTTGTCTCTTCTAACTAGAAATGTAAATGTCAAGGGAGGCTTTAATGGT